TAAATAGCAAGATACATAAGTTTAAAATTTTAATTTTTTTGTAGAGCTTCAAATAGGTTAGTTAGGTTAGGTCATTCAAGTTATTTGAACTAAGAAAATCAGGTTAGATCAAATAAAAATCTGATCTGATTTAAATTTTCATTTGATTTGATTTAATCTGATCAAATTATTCAAAAAAAATAATTTGCTATTATTTAATAAGAATGATAATAAATCATTTAGAAAATGATAAAAATATTATCTTGAATGATAAAATATTATTTTTGAATAATAAAACTATTATTTAAAAATAATATTAAATTATTCTAATTAAACAATAAAAATATTATTCAAGTATAATAATGAATTATTCTAGTTGAACAATAAAATTTTATTTAAAAATGCTAAATTATCATTCAAGAATAATAAGAATCTTTCTAATTGAATAATAAAACATTATTCTTGAATAATAAAAATATCATTCTTGAACTATAAAATTATCATTTAAAAATGATAATAAATCATTCTAATTGAATGATAAAAATATTGTTCAAAATGATAAAGAATCATTCTAATTAAATGATAAAATATTATTCAAGAATAATATAAATCATTCTAATTAAACGAAAAATATTATTCAAGAATGATGATTGGTTGACCTGAATTTTATCAAGTTAAATAAAATCATGTTGACCTGATCTGATATTAACATGAAAATCTACTAACCTGATCTGGATTTTTAGGTCAGGTCAGTCAGATAAATAGATCAACCTGACCTGATTCAGAGTTTTATTTTTTATAATAATTTATTATTTATTTATCTATAAAAAATCACTAGTAAATTATATTTTTTTAATATTTACATAGAAAGCATCATAAAATTTATTATAAAAGTATTAATTTTTTTAATAATATATTTTAAAATATTTAAAAATAATTAAAATGATTGTAATTAATAAATAAAATTGCCTACTAATTTTTTCTAATTATATATTTAATAATTATTTAACTAAGCATAAAAATAATAATAAATTCTTTCTTTAATTATTTAGTTTAATCTCTATACTATTAAACTATTATTTAATAATTTTAATTTAAAATAGTTTTATTTTGTATAACATAGTAAGGTATTATGAAATAACTGATAAGATAATCATTTAACTTGTAATATTTTACCAATAATGGAAGAAATATTTATGATCTTTAATGTTATTAATACTATTATTAAAAACATTTGGATACAAAATTAACTGAAAGAACTTTTAAGATAAATTAAAAAATCGAACCAGATATTATTTTCCATTGAAATGAATTTAAAACTTATCCAATTGACATTTTACACAGTTAATGGATATATATAACCATAAAAAATAATATAATAGATTGGATTTTCCAACTTGATTCAATAATTTGTTGTCAGTATCGACCTCGAAATTCAGGAAATGTAGCTCGAATTGCATTTTTCGAGAATGTAATACCACGAAGAAAATACAGGCCATTACAATACCAAAGGAAATTCCCTCAATAAATCCAAATTAACCATATGGGACCTTTGCAATAGAAAGGGGGGAAACTGTCGGAAAAATCAATTTTACTTTTATATGCCAAATATGATTTTTAAGTCAAAATATGTTCAGATTTAGCATTAACTCAATTTTTATTTTTTCCAGCCGTTTCCCCCTTTTCTATTGCAAAGGTCCCATATGATATAAGGCATTCGAGATGGTTGTCAATTCCCTATAGGTATCTATTCTTTCATAAATCAAAGTTTTAAATGAAAATAAGCGCGCCTATCCGACGATCTATGGTCTGATCAAAAATAAAATTGCAGTAATCCTGATACACGATAGTCCTGGATTTGATTAAGTTAGAATTGATAAGCTATTTATATTACATAGTTAATTTGTATTATAATATATTTCTTAAAATTAATGTCATAATTTACTTTTTAATAACTCTGGATTCTACTTGATGTTACCATTTCAAATTTCGCGAAAGTATTTAAAATAGCTGTCTTTTTCATAAAATAGTTTGCTTTTTTTATTAAAAAAAAAAACCATTGATACTTTGAAAATAATAAAATATACCTACCTTTCAACTGGAAAATATATTAAGAAAAAAAAAGTATTTTATTTTTCTTAAATTTATCACAATAATAAAAATACTCAAGTTATTAATTAGATTTAAAGATTTCGGATATTTCTACGGGAAAATGTCTCACATTTATTTGTCAACTTAGTGGAGATCATGTCCAATCATTTGCAAAAGTAATTCTTAAAAAGAATTGGATTAATTAACTTACAAAATTTGAATTTAAATACGAAGGTTTGGAAAATGACAATATTTTCAGATTACATTAAATAAATTAAATAAGAAAAATATTTCAGCGAAGACCTAAAAACTGCTAAAAAGTTACGGATGTTGAATTCAAAATCTTTGTTACAAAAAATTTAAACCAACGCAACTCTAGATTAATAGTTCATATTAATTAGCAAATAAAAGTTTACAATTAGGATAATTTAGCAGATACAAAATATATATATATATATAATTTTTACGATCATTTTTTTTTGGAACTCATTAATATTACGTACTAATATTGAATGATGGGTTTTACTGTGAATGATTTTTATATTTTAAAAAATCTCCTTGTTAGGTTAATTGTGTAACTCTAATGATCAAGAATTTTTTAATGAGGCAAAACTTTTACTTTATGAATTGAGATTTGTGAATTAGTACCCAGATTTAACGTTAACGCAAAAAAAAAGTTTTAAAGCTTCCTCCCTTTTTACTGCAAAGCGTCCATGTATATATAAATATTTCAGGATCGATCACTACAGGTGTTACTTTTACTATTCTTTTATACTTTTTTTATTAATCATTTTTTTTTAATTTTGAAAAATAATAGGTATATGAACTATTTATTCGTTTGTTTTAGGTTTAACTAACAAACACTTAATCTTCTTAATTTTTATATCAAAAATATTATAACTTTATTGTCTCTTCATTTTTAATTTACGATTTCATCAATTAGTAAATACTCTAAATTTTGGTAAGAACTTAAATCATTTTAATCCATTATTTATGTAAATTCTACATAACTAATGTAATAAGATTAATAAAAAAAAATCATTTACATATAAAACATTGAAGAATTCGTTTATATATTATTTCGATAATATTTTGTTTTAAAAAAGTTACATCGAACGAGCCATGTTTGCAAACTAATGTAATTATAATTAATTACCTTATTCCAATGCTATCTTATTTGTATATCGTAAATTACGCAATACAACAAAATAGTCGAATTAAAATTTCGACTGAAATGAATACTTTCATCATCATTTATCAAGTATAGTTTAACTGTCAATCTATCTCCATACTTTAACTGGTCTTTACGTTTAAATAAAAGTTCAAGGAAAAGAAATTATGAATTTGAATATACAATCTTTGGTCTGTAGTGAACCACTTAAATGTATTACTAAAAACAACCGATTATAAGAAATTGTTGTGCAAGTTATTTTTCACATTCACGGTGACTTAAAAAATATGAAATTAAATTATTAATACAAGTTTTTTATGTAAAATTTATTTATTATTATAAATTAAATGAAAATTTCAAATTAAGCTTGTTTAATATATCAAATTAATCAGTGTTGTCTCAATGTCGGCGTTTTACACTTTCGCAATGTCAATATATTAAACTAAGTAAATGCCATTCTAATTAATTAAAACGGCGCAATTACGAACAATTACGAAAAAATAATAAGAAAATCGGAAATTAAAAAATAAACGAAGTTACAAATAAATCTAAAAAGTTAAAATGGCGAAAACGAAAATATCGCGTAGGTGTAAATGGAAGGATTTCGAGGTATATGTTGAGCTGTTTAAGGATTTCCAGCTCGTATTTATAAAAAAATAATAATTAGACCTTGACATGGGCTGCCTGGCAAATGATCTTCAAAAGACTAACAGCAAATATCGAAAGCGATTTTCATGCGGAATTATGGATTTTTTTCGGGCGAAATTATATCCAGTGTAAAAATAGTATACCGTATCATAAACAAAATAGAAATGAAGGAATCCATCAAAATGATATGATAAAACTTTTGCCGTTCCGCTATAAATTTTAGCAGGTTCATAAACTTGTTGACCGTCTTATTTTCATTAAATAAAAAAAAATTTGTACGAATTACACTATTTTTTATTAACTGTATATGTTTAAAAGTTTAACACTCAACTTTTTTTAAGAAAAATTGCAAGTTGGCGTCTTTGTTGTGGGTACATACTATTTTATGACAATGATATCGTCATATATCTAAAGGTAAATTAAAATTTACAATAAAATGTATTTATTTATTATATTTTAATAAAAGTCAATATTCTAAATATATTATTTGTGTAACATATATAGTTTATAAAGGACAGCTGTTATCATTTTGCCCCATGATAAGTTTCTTTTGTGACAGGCAGAATTTAAACTAATTTCAGCCCGACATAAATTTCTTGCATCCGTTGCAAAACAACGAGGTAAAAAAAATTTATATTTGATGATCGAATCTCATTGATTGTCCTTTCAAATGTACAGTAACTTAGGTTTGAATATAATTAATATTTCTAACATATTTTTAACTAAATAATTATCTGCCGTTATGTACAAATGCTATAAACAAGAAAAAATATATATTTATTTGAAATATATGTCGCCTCATTTTCCTGTCAAATTTTTTTATGTGGTCGAATTCATGTGAAAACGTAAAAATAAAAATAAAGTCATTGAATATTAACGTTTGTGAAAAGACGTGAGAGACTTTTAATGTCTTAGAAATTGGGAGCATTAATCTGATTTGTTCCTAAAATTAATATAAAGTACAAGGTATGCACGATTGTGTAATTGACCCAATTATGTAAACATTACATGTGAAAATGTTTATAATGGAATGATAAATGATAAAAAGACGTTAATGGTATCATCTTTTATTCAATAAAATATCTTATAGTTTGTCAAAATAAGCCTTACCATGACAAAAAAAATTCGCAAACCCAGGAATAAAGCTACTTTATCAAGCTCAGCAAATTCAGCAACTGAACCTCCTTTTAACCCAATAGATAATTCATCAAGTTCAAGAAATGAAAAACCTCATAGCGGTGGGAATAATAAAGTCAGTACGACCATGACAGAAAATTTTTTATTGGATCTATCAAATGACATTGGACAACTCCTTACAGGTGGAGACAATTATGACGTAATTATTCAAGCTGGTGAGGGACAGAGTATGAAGGAATTCTTTGCACATTCATGCATTTTAAGAGCAAGGTCAGCATACTTTAAGGTTGCTGAATGGGAAGAAAGTGAAAACGGATTTATCATTTATAAGAAACCAAATATCTTTCCGGATACATTTGACTTAATATTAAAATTTTTATACACCGGCATCATTAATTTAGACTATCTAACCGGACTCAAGTGTTGAAACTTTTGGTTGCAACTAACGAATTGAACCTTCATAAGTTGAGTAATTATATTCAGCCTCATTTGATCAATAATCAAGTTGAATATTTAATGAGTGAACCAGTTGAAATCTTAAAAACAGTACATCAATATGAAGTTTTTAAAATTTAAGGAAACATTTTTTAGAAGTCATTTGCGAAAATCCTAGGATTCTCTTTGAATCTCCAAGTATTAAATCGTTAGAAAAAGAACTTATTATCCTTCTTTTAAAGCAAGACGAACTTGGAATGGAAGAACCTGACATTTGGGATTTTATTCTTAAATGGGGTAGATCAAAAGTGTCTAATCCATTGGATAATGACGTATCTACTTGGACATCAAATGATTTGAAGATTTGGAAAAAATCATTTGTGATTTAATCCCACATGTTAGATGGATTGAGATTTCTTCAGAAGCGTTTTTGCGAGAGGTTGACCCATATGAAACAATATTTCCGAGAAAACTATATAAAAGCATAATTAGTTATCATTTGGATCCAAATACACAGTCTAAAACCCTTTTATTACCTCCAAGACGTGACATATCTTTTGATTCAACTATTATTTGTAAAAATCACTTATTTATGATAGCTGGCTGGATTTATAATTAAAAAAACAGATTCTTTTATAATTCCAGGAATATACCTTATTCATTTAAACTTCTTTATCGTGCTAGTAGAAAAACGTTTCATCAATTATGTGACGACGAAGGTCTCACTATCGTTATTTCAAAATTGCAAGAAAATGATAAATTAATCGGTGGTTATAGTCCATTAAGCTGGGAACTTTACAATATTGAAAATTGTCAGAACACATTAACTGACAATAAGTATTTGTTACCACGCCATCTAACAATAACCAAATTGGTTGGGGCTCAACGTCACATAGTTTCTTATTTACTATTGCGAAAAATGATCTTAATTCAGGATACATCGCAAGGGTTTCGAAAGATATTGAAATTCAAAAGAATGCTATATATTATAAATCAGATTTTGGACCAGCTTTTGGTAATTTATCAATTATTGATAAAAGTATTCATCGAAATAATGATCCTGAATTTTAAGTGATACAAAAAATATTGTTGATTATGAAGTATATCAGGTGAATCGGGTAGAAGGATAATTGTGATGAAACATCTAAATGAATTATGCCTATTAAACGGTACACAGCTTAAAATTTCGGATCAAATAAGTATTAGTAAGATTTTATATAAGTCCATATTCTTTTTAAAGCTAATTTAAAAATAGGAACCGTTGAGACATCTATAATTCACTATATATTGTACTGATGCTCATAAACTGACCAAGAATCTATCTATAATAAATATATTTCCTAAGAACTTAATATAAGGAATCTTTTGATTAGATCGGTTTAGGTCTATGAAATATTCGAGATTTAATCTGTTAATTTAGTTGCAATACGTGAAACATATATCAAATTTTGTAAGAGAAAGGAAATATTTATTTACATAAATATACTTTCTAAGAATCGTTTTTATTTCCCGTAAATTTGATAATGTCATCAAAGTGCTGGTTATTTTTCAATACTAATCACGTTTCGATTAAAACACATACCGCAGAATTTCATATTTGCATCTTTTTCAATTTATTGGACTCAACTTCCCAACAGTTTCATTTTACGTCAAATCATTCGTATATATATTTTTATGATTTATTACTCAGAATAAAATAATATGCAATAGATTTGAAAAAGTTAACTGGATTAATTTCTACTTAATATAAAGTCAGAAAAATAATTTATTCTCTAATATTGTTACGACCATGATTTTTGCTTGTAGATTGTTTTGATTGTATTTTTACAAATACAAAAAAAAAATTTGATTTAAATAAATTATCCTTTTTTATAAAGTAAGTAATAAATTTATAACTTACGAACATTCCCTTTTTATCATAGTTGAATGCAAATTTTGTTTTGTTAAGTTGAGCTTACTTGAAATCAAAAAAAAAATCTATTATTTTTTTTTTATATTTTTATGTAAGCATGTTCATTTCATTGGATAAGCTCTAAATAATCTCGATATTTTAAAACTTTCGAAAAAAATTCATTAAAATCTCGAAATGTTGAAGTACGAAATATAAAATACCCAAAGATCTACACAAAAAAATTATATGGAATAAAATTTTAGCATTTTCCTTGCGAGTTGAAGTTTTTGCGCAAAGTATGTAAATTCTTTTTTTGAGCAAATAAATAGGAAGAAAATTGACAAATTATTTGTATCATATTTTATTAAGCTCTTAAGCAATATTAGGCTACATGTGAATTCTCAATGTATCGATGAATTATATAATAGATAAAAAAATATCTTTTTTTTTTAATTTGAATAGATAACAAAAATCGTATATATGAAATTATTGCATACCCGATAATTGTATCCTAGTCATGTCATGTAATCCAACAATCATTGGCTCGTTAATTTTTAGTTTATTGATATCGTGGAAATGAATCTTCAAATATTTTCTTAAATGGAATATTCCCCAAAATTAATATTTATAAATTTCTAATAATTTAAAAGTTTTTAATTTGAATTTATTTAACCATCCATCATAACGATAATATAAAAATAAAATAAACAAAATCTATATAAATTAATATACAACTGCTTAATCGTATTCATATATTATGGAACAAAATATAACAAAAAAAATTAATTAAATAACTTACTAATTAAATCATCATGTGCAGTGTTGTTCATTTTCCATGTCCCAAGCATTTTAAAACTGTTCCACACTATGTCCCAAGCTGTCCCTCATTATGTCCCAATTGTCCCAAGCACATCTGAGACATGTCCCAGCACAACACTGATCATGTGTATCAAGAGAACGATTTAATTCTTCGGTTTGTCCTACTAAAATATCATTATTATCTTTAATACAATTAGTATATATTTAAAACAATAACATATTAATTAGTCATTATTGTACCTTCAACCGAAGTATTAATGCTTATTTCAGTTCCCATAGGAGTTGAATCCTCATTATCTTCATTTTCTATTCCAAAATCCACTTTTTTAAATACTTCTAATACTATTTTAATACTTGGTCTTTTCTCAGGTATTGAATCCCAACATTTTTCATAAAGCTCCTTATAATCGTTAGGGGTATCTTCTATAACATTTTCACGATATCTATTAATAATTTTAATACAAAGCAACTCTTGATCACTGCTAATTAAATCCTTAAATGGCGGAACTCCGCTAGAAATTTCCCACATTAATACACCATAACTGTAAATATCTGAAGCTTTGTCATATTGAAAATTTAAATCTAAAAGTTTTTTGGATCTACATATGGAATTCTACCAAAAGTTCCGATATGTATAGTAGAATTTTGCATGTTCATATTTTTGGAAATGCCAAAATCTGTTATTTTTGCATTACCATCATGAATAACAATATTCTTAGAATGCTAAATTAAATAAATAATTCAAATAAATATTTAAGAACTAAATTAAACTTTAATAAATAAACAAAGTTAATACTTACAAGATCTCTATGCAAAATATTTTCGTTATGTAAGTAATTTAATCCTTCAGCAATTTGAAATGCTAATTTTTTCTTATTATTCCAAATTAAATTTTTAAAATTCTTTTCAAGATAATTTTGAAGATCACTATCATTAGTATATTGCATTACAAGAAGATAATCTTCGTGATCTATAAAAAGTGTAAGGAATGGAATTTTATAATAATAAATTTAATGCAAAAAATTAAACTAGAAAATTAATTATAAATTACCTTTACTAATACCAAAACAACGAACAATTCGATCACAAAAATCAAAACGTAAATGGATTTTTAATTCATGAATAAAAGCATCTAATATACTACCTTTAATAGATTGTATATTAGTTAATTTTTTATAAACAATACATGTTCCTGTTGTAATCCAAGTTGCTTTCATGATAGATCCAAATCCTCCAGTAGTAAGTTGTTTAGAATTTATTAATTGATTAAATGGTATAAATTTAACTTCTTTACATTTTAATGCATTTTCAATCCATTTATTAGCATTATTCTTATGAAATTTATCAGATTCTAAAACTTATACTATTAATAAAATATATATATATTAACAAATACTATATTACATTTATTTTAATATAAATACTAATAATCAATAAATATTACTTACTATCTAAATATATTATTAATAATTAAATATTTTTTAAATAAAAAATTTAGTTAAGTTTAAATTACAATCAAAAGTACAATTAAATACTAATAATCATAAAATAATTTACCATCTATCATGATTAATTATTAAATATTTTTTTAATAAAACTTAGTTTCAATTACAATGAAATATATAATTAAATCCTAATAAATAATAAAAAAACTTACAAACTATAATTTTAAATTTAATCAAATAAAAAATTTAATTAAGTTAAATTATAATAATTAAATAATAATAATTAATAAAATAACTTACAAGCTGTAATTTTAAATTTTAATTAAATAAAAAATATAGTTAAGTTTAAATTATAATAAAAAGTATAATTGAATATTATTAATCAATAAATATAACTTACAATCTATTATATTATTAATTATTAATTATATTTTAAATAAAAATTAGTTAATTTTATATTATAATAATAAGTATAATTAAGTACTAATAATCAATAAAAATAACTTACTATCTAAATTATTAAATATTATTAATTTTTATAAAAAAATTTAAATTACAGTAATAAGTAAAAATAAATACTGATAATTAATAAAAATAACTTACTTTCTTTAATTTTAAATAAAAAATTTAATTAAGTTTAAATTACAATAATAAGTATAATTAAATACTAATAATTAATAAAAATAACTTACTTTCTTTAATTTTAAATAAAAAATTTAGTTGAGTTTAAACTATAATAATAAATATAATTAAATACTGATAATTAATAAAAATAACTTATCCACTTTAGTTTTTTAAATAAAAAAATTTAATTGAGTTTAAATTATAATAAAAAGTAAAATTAAATACTAATAATTAATAAAAATAACTTACCTGCTTTTATAATATTTTATTTTTAAGTAAAAATTTAGTTAAGTTTATATTATAATACAAAGTATAATTAAATACTAATAATTAATGAAAATAATTTACAAACAGTAATTTTGAATTTAATTAAAATAAAAATTTAGTTAAGTTTAAATTATAATAAAAGTATAATTAAATACTAATATAATAAAAATAACTTATGCCTTTTATTTAAATAAAAAATTTAGTTGAGTTTTAATTACAATTAAAAGTATAATTAAATACTGATATACAATGAAAATATCTATTATATTATTAATTATTAAATATTTTTTTTAATTAAATAATTAAGTTAAATTTAATTATAATTAAAAGTAAAATTAAATACTGATAATTAATTAAAATAATTTACCCCTTAGTTTTTTAAATAAAAATTTAGTTGAGTTTAAATTATAATATAAAATATAATTAATACAAATAATCAATAAAAATAACTTACAATCTATTATATTATTAATTGTTAAATATTTTTTTTTAATTTAAAAATTAAGTTAAATTTAATTACTATAAAATAAAATTAGATACTGATAATTAATAAAAATAACTTACAAACTATAATTTTATATTTAATTAAATAAAAATTTAGTTAACTTTAAATTACAGTAATTAGTATGATTAAATACAAATAAACAATAAAAATAACTTACAATCTATTATATTATTAATTATTAAATATTTTTTTAATTGTTAAATTTAATTACAATAAAGATAAAATTAAATACTAATAATTAATAAATTAACTTACTTCCTTAGTTTTTTAAATAAAATTTAGTTGAGTGTAAATTATAATAAAAAGTAAATACTGATAATTAATAAAAATAACTTATTTCCTTAGTTTTTTAAATAAAAATTTAGTTGAATTTAAATTACAATACAAAGTATAATTAAATACTAATTATCAATGAAAATAATTTACAATCTATTTAATTATATTTTTTTTTAAATAAAAAATTTAGTTGAGTTTAAATTACAATAAAAAGTATAATTAAATACTGTTAATTAAAAATCATGTTTAATCTCAGTAAGAGTTTTTTTTGCACTTGAACCTGATTCTATATATTGAATATTTATTAAAACTTTTCATACTCACTAACTTCGTCTAATGTTTTTTTATTGCCAGACATCGTTAGAAAATTAAAAAGTCTTTTTTTTAGTTTCTTTTATAATTGCTATAAAGTTGTACAATGCAATGTAATTCATCGATCATTTTAGTATACTATATCATTATAAAGTTACTAAACACAAGGAAATTATTTGATAAATAATTTTTGAATCAGTGTTTTCTTAATAGATATATATGAGTTACTCAAATTTGTTATATAAATTTTTTATTTATATTTATAAATAAATTTTGACTTATCATTATCAAATGTTTTAGAAACACATTTATCGATATTTGTCATGTAGAACGATATCATTTGTTCATCAACACAAGAGTTAGTTTCTCTTAACAATTGCAGGTCAGGTGTACGTTTTGAAAAGTACAACTAGGAAATACATAATAATTATAAAACTTTCAAAAAAATAAACAAAAATTCTCTTGAATTTTAAGATCGGTTATATAGGTCACATATCGTTATTTTTAATATATGAAAATAATAATAGAATAAATATTAGAATTATTTATATACTGCTAGGAAAGAAAAAATCAACGAAAGGGAAAGTTATGATCTAGTTTGATTCTATTATAACTGAAAAACATTCTGCTAATCTATTTATTCTTTTTCGTAATTGAAAATTAATTATTGAGCAAATCGGCTTGATACCTCATGTAAAAGTAAATCTTTTCACTAAAGTGTGAGTCATAAATTTCTAAATTGTGAATGTATTTATAAGATAAGAGAGTCATATAATTTTTGTTTGTAACTATATCTGCACATTCTTTGATCTGATATTTTTTTATTTTTACGATATACTATTTAATAAAAATATTGAGATTGACTTCTATCAGAATTTTTTTTTAATATAAATTTTTACATATTATACAATCTTAATATGCTAAAAACTATGGTATTATTACTGAAGAATATGATAACTTTATATGTCAAAAAGTATTTAACTTATATTTAATAACTACTACTTTCTTTGTGAATTCTTAATTTACCCTAACTCAAAAGTTAGAAGTTAGTATTTATTATCATTATTTTTTTTTTTTTGGAATTTTGAGCTGTAATACTAACTAATTATAATATAATTTTGATTTTGTTTAGATCAAATTCCAAAGATGCAGATATGATTTCTTTTTACTGTATATTAGATTTATTAGATTTAAACAAAAAATAAATTCAAAAATCATTAATACTTCAAGTAAAGAATCAAAAAGGCAGGATTTAACACCGAAATATGAGATTACTTCATAGTAATTTCTGTAGTATGTAGCATTTTAATTCTTCTAAAAAAGCATAAAGTCTGAAAATTTTTAATCAGTGGTCTCTGAAAGGATCAAATCCATAAATTTAAAAATTTAAAAAACAAAAAATAAATAAAATAAAATAAAATATCTGCTGTATATATATAATATATTATAATAATTCACTTTTTTTTGATAAATTTTATTTTATTTTTTAATTTTTTTTATGATTTTTATTTTATGTTTCTTTTTCAGCTTTGGATTGTATTTATTAAATAAATAGATTTTCAATATATTATTTTCTTACTTATTAGATACTGGCTTTTATTCTTCTCAATAAAAATAAAAAAAAACTTAAAATATTAATTTTAATAAATAAAAATAACTACTATACATTATAACAAAGGTATAGTAAAAGTGAAATGTTTTAATTATTAATTCACCAAGTTGGTTACACTTTTTGATGGTAATTATATAGAGATTTAACTATAATTATTAACTTCTATATAATCACTACTATATTAAAATTATTTACCATAATTAAATAAAGGATTTATAAAATTTATTACAATATACAAATAATTAATATAAAATGATTATTGATTTATTTTAAAGTATGATTTTTTAACAAATTCATAATCTTTATAAGTAAAAAAACTGTTTTTGGTATTTGTTTTTTGGTTTACAATTTAAGTTTTTGAATTGTTTTAAGATACTTTTTAAAATATGATCACCTTCAATATTAAATTCATCTATTTCTTACTATATAAAAAAGTTATTCAAGTTTGTAAAGACATTATTACATTATCTAAAGAAAATAATACTAGCTTATTCTTAGAATCATCTGAGTTATTATTCTCATTATTTATTTTCTCATAAACAAATCTTATAATATTATTTTCATCTAAAATATATTCAGTTAGTTAGTATTTTGCATAGATTCAGATTCAGATTTAGATCTGATCTGAGTATATCCTTGCAAAGTATAATCTAATAATCTTTTTGAGTACAGTTATATTACTTTTTAGCTTAGTCATATGAATTTGGATTCTGATTATCAGATCATGCAGTTCAGTAATTTGCCTAAAATTATTTAAGTAAATAATTAGTTTTAATATCACACAAACTTTATTGTAATCAATATTATTATATGATAAAACTTTATTTTTCCATTTACTATATTAACTATAATAAGTAATTATATAGTAAATAATTTATTATAATGATATTAATTTATTTTAATATAATGAGTAATTTTGTAATTGAGTAATTTTGTTATTATAATTAATTTATTTTAATCTTTTATAATGAGTTAATTTTACATATATATTTTTTTAAATTTCTTTATAAAATTATTTCAAGAAATATTTTAAGAATACTGTAAATATAGTATTATTAAAGCTTTAAACATTATCATGCTTAGTTTATTTGCTTAGTTTAATCACTTATAATACTTATCAAACCTTTATCTAATTGACTTTTAGATGAAAAATTTATACATATTAATAAAAATATTAAATCTAAATTGGAAAATATAGAGAATTTAACTTTAAGTAAGTTAATAAATATTATATATTTTTATATTTATATAAGTTAAAATTAATAATTATAAAAATTTTTATAATTAGTATTAGATAGATGAATATCTAAATGGTAGAAATCAATTTATAATTATATTATAATAACACCTGATAGAAAAGAATATTTGGTCACCTTATATAAGGTAAATTTCTTGCTTCAGAACTAACAGATATTAAAAAAGAATTGATATAAATAAATTACAGCAATTATTACTGATAATACTCCTAATTGTTAAGTTACTAGAAAAAAATTAAAGAGCAATTCAACCATATATAGAATGTAAGATATGCAGCCCATGCTATTAATTTAATATCAGATGATTTAGTAAAACTTTAAAATATAAAGAAGATAATTTAAATTGTGAAAAAATTACAAAATATTTTAATAATTCATATCATAGTAGTATAATTTTATGATAAGGTTTTACAAATATGAAAATAAGTCTTAAAGAATTAAAAACATAGTATAAGACTAGATAGGGTTCATTATATATAACAACAAATTCAATTTACATGCTTATCTAGTTTTTAATTGAGTAAGTTAAAAATTTTATTAAAAAAAAATAAAATAATTTTTTTAGATTTTATTAAAACATGAAAGTATTATTACAAATTCTAATATATATAACTTAATGCAAAATGAAAAAATTTTCACAAATTGTTATCATATTCATAAAATTTGGGCTTTTATTAAAGAATGTATTAATATTTTTGAAGTAAGTCAGCTTCTTTGGTTGATTGATTTATACAAATAATTAAATTAGCAATTTCTATATTTTGACTTTCTTCTTCAAATCCTTATAAAATAAATACTATTCAAATATTTAATTATCATTATCTTTAATTCTAATATTCTGATTATTTTTTATGTTATTATCTTAATCCTTATTATCAAGGTATAGTATTTATTTTTTTATTTAATCATTGTTAAAAATATATTAAAAAATATATTAATTCACTTTTTTTATAGATATGAGGCTTTATAATAAGGCATTTAGAGAGATTGCAATTGCTGCTTCAAAACTTTAGCAAAATTTAGGTTATTCTGAACAAGATTGTAAAGAACTTATTACTCAATTATGATATTTAATGCAAAATTAAAACCATATGATCTACTTTACATACAAGGAATGGATACACTTGAAATTTGGTAAGGTTCTATAAAAATCAACTATGTTACTTACAAAACTTGTACTTTGACTATTTGCCATTGCTTTTTTACAAGTAAGTAATAAATGAAATTTCTCTATAATTAAATGGATGATTGGAGATAGACGTACAAGGCTTGGTATTAAAAAGCTTGAAAGTATGGCAAAAAATATGTTCTTATTATCTAACAAATATTAAGAATGAGTTGTCTTTTTATGGAAAGAAATCAGATGAAGCAGAATTAAAAGAAGTTGTAAATATTTCTGCAAATGGTGAAGTTATGGCATTAGATGATGATAAATAAGATGAATATAATAATACTAACGATTTGGTATTAGAAAAATAAAGTGTTACTTTGATATTAGAAGAAATTGTTGATTTTACATAACCATTCTTTAATAGTAATACAAAAAATGATATCTATAGAGATGGAAATAATGTGAATGAAAGAGAGATTAGAAATATGGATTTTGATCATACTTCTTTGCTTGATCAAATTTTGGAAATTATATAAATTCAGGCAAAGGAAGAATAAGGATTTGTTTTTTCCTTTTTTTAATTTTTTTTTATTTTATTTTTTTTATTTAGTTTATTACTATATTCATTCATATCAGTTGTGGCTGGTATTTTACATAATCAATTACGATTCCTAGTTAACGTTAGTATGATTGTATTAAAAATTTTGTTAATATGATGGGCTGTTAACTAATAAGCGAAATGGTTTGGCAAGAGATTTTTTTATCTTAGGTAAAATAGGTTCTCCCTAACTAGCTAATCTCTATCATTTTCTTATATTTCTTTCCCAAAATAAAAAAAGGTTGAATAAAGGCATTTGGAAAGGAAAATATGTTTTACAAAAAACTTTATGTTTTGACTGTAACTGTGTTACAAAAAAAAACCCACATAATAAAGAAGTATATAAACAAATTAACTCTATCGCATCTTTCTTTAGTATCCAATATCAAGATACAATTCAATCGAACAAGAACGATCTTACAACTCCTTATCCAAGAAATTATATTTACAGCTTTCAACGATTTTGATGAAAAATATAAGTATACATTCGATTAGTAGTTTGTTTTAGCATAAAGCGAAAAGGACTGACCAAACTATTTTACCTTATTTGTAGTGATATTTCTTTCTGTGACTAAAAGTTAGATTGGCAAGTTAATCATTATTTCCTCATCTGTTTTCATCAAACATTATTGCTAATAGAACTTACCTTTCAGAGGTTTCCAATTTAATCATCATGGATTTACGATTCCGTTGAACAAGACAAGGTTCTATGAACTCTCCTGCATAGAATCATTTCTTAGGATCATAAACAGACTTGATCATTAACACTTGAATCTACACTGCTTGAAGGTTGTTATTTTCACTTTTTTTTCAGATTCAGTTAATCAAAGCAGACATAATTATTAACCTACCTCTTCCTAACGGATTTCCTAAAGTAAAGCCAAAAAATCAAGTGTCATCTGAATTCGATTTCATTCATATAAGACGGATAGGAAGAAATAGGATAGTGATTGACTGCCTTATTAACTGAATCCGAAATAAATAACTAATACTAATATTTTTTACTTTTACCTGAGAATTTCCATTGATCATCACGGATTTATTAAAGCAAAGCCGAAAAATCAAGTGTAACATCAGAATTTGATTTCATGATGATTAAATTGACGGTATGGAAATTAAAAGGTAAAAAAAAAAAGTTAGTATTAGCTATTTGCTTCAGATTCAGATAATTAAGCAGACACAATTACTAACCTACTTCTTCCTAATGGATGGAATCAAATTCTTTATTACCTTCTAACCGGAGTCTCGTTCCTATGAAATCTCGTTCAAAATTGAAGAAAAAAATAGGTTAGTATATTTTGTTCCATAGTTATTGGTAGATATGTTATTAAAATTTACTTATCTTTAATTTAGCGATCCCTGAATCCTCGTCACTAAAAGAAATCCGATCCATTCGCTGTATCGTAGTTGTTAATATTAAGGCCTTAATTGTATTAATAATAAAGCAAGCTCTAATCGCTCTTTTCATGATGATTGGGGTATTGGATGATGTATGTAAATTCAACATCATTTTTGTAGGCACATAAATATTTTCGTTCGTGAAAATTGGTTTCCAACATGCTAATTTAAAATAAATAAATAGTTTAAAATTACGCGGTTTTGCATTAAAAATCACATGAGTCTCGGGTCTATTGACCAGACCAATAGGATCTTCATATGGCCAAGTGATTTAAGTCATGACGTCTAAAGTAACTTAAGTCACATCTGCGTCATACGTTTAGACGTCAAATAGATTTCAGTCTACGTCGCGAATAAGACATTGACGTGACGCAATTTGTATCTACGTCATGTCATTAAGTCTGCACCCTTAAAGTCGACATAATCTAATGAATAATAAAAGGTGTCTCCTTAATTTAATCCTAATTAATTCATGCATACGGATTAGGATATTTAATACGAATTAGAAATTTTAGTATTTATTCGGTCTTCTATTTAATAATAAATATAAAACTTTTTTTAAGTATTTTATAAAGCATATAAGGTATTTAAATATAATTGTATTCATTTTATTTTATTTATTCAGGTAAAAGTAATAATAATCAATTCTATAAATAATAGGTTAAATATCTTAATTTTACTCTTTTTCTTTTTTATTATGTTTATTGCGAAATGTATCAATTGAAATTGGGATTCTATTATTCTATGATTATTTTAGGAAATTTATAAAGCTGTGTACAAACTATATATAAACGAATTGAAAAATGAAGTTGGTTTTTAGTGAAATTTATCCTGATAACCTTTAATATGCGCTATAATTATGTAGTGGATTAACTTGAAAATTTTGACAAATAAACTGATGACGGTAAATTTTTTTCTTTCTACATGAACAAATGATCAAGTAATAAAATTATGATTTACACTTCTTTTATTTTTTTTTTTAAAAAATTATTTCAAACATCCTTTGAATCGTGATTGTAATCCTTCTCTTCACCATCTGTACGTACTTGACTAGTTTCCATCTTGTCCGTGCAAAGCATCTTATACGTATCAAAACCTCGTCCGACAAGACTATATAATATTGACAAACCAACAGATATCAAAGAAAATACTGGAATTGGATCATATATAATACTATTATGTTTTATGTAAATGACCTAAATAGTTTATACATTAAATCAGTACAGAAATTATCTATGCGATATGTAAAAAAAGTTCAGAAATTAATATCATTAACTTACTCTAATTATGAATTGCGGTATCTCCTCAATAAATATATTAACAAATCTCCCCCGAAAGATTTGAACTTCGGCGTCTTTTGATAAGGGCACTTGAAAGCAAGACAACCCTGCTAAATTTGACGTGATGATGTTCAACATTGCTAAATCAGCCGAAGCCAATATTGTCAATACTGATACCACTTTAGTATTAGAAATCAACCAATCGCGAAATTGTTCATTTGTATATTGTTCTTTTAAAAGAATGTATAAAGTGAAAATTAGGTTGAATACAGTTGGTATAACTAAAAATATAATACTAAGCGTGAACAATGAAGGAACTTAATATAAATACTTTGAAATATCTTCAACAAACAACAATGAAAAAATAATACATTAACTCACCTTGGCATAAATAATGAAGAAACCATCTTAGAATTATATACTATAAACACTAAATCCAGAATAAAATCTGTAGCGATTAATGCAATTGTGAAAACAAAAACATTTCGTCCCTATCATAAATTATGAACGATTGATTAATTAAATGACTAACTTTACAAGAACGAAAAACTCCGATTATTAAGTTCTTACCTGTGGGTTTTTATATCTTGCTATAAAGTATAAACAGATAACTAATAAAACCCCGCCAAAAGCATATAATAAATTCAATTTGAATTCATCACTCCATCCCTCGGCTATAAATGAATCAAAAAAAAAGTTAAATTAAGTTCTACATTTATTTCATCTTCTCATATGTATAATAACTTACGAATCATCATAGCACCATATTTTTCATCCAGCATGCTAGATAAAGGATAATGTGATATAAGGGTTAAATATTTATTGTTGATCAAAGCGGCCAGATCTTTTGCTATGTCATTAGCGCAAGGTGTTAATGTTTCATTAGGTTGTGATATTCTCACTTGCATAAGAACCAAATTATTAGAATCAGATGGGTCATTTTGAAATTTTCCCGAGTCTGACAATCTAGATCTTTCAACGGGAATGATTTCAGATAACTCATCCATTAGTTCATTATAAAATCCGTAAATTTCTTTTGAATTGAGCTTTTTGAAATATTTTGTTCCATTGGCATTAAGTCTTAATAATACTATTACTGATGCTAATTGTAATACAAAAAAAAGTAATTCAATAAGTTGCTTAAAAGTTAATATTAATTTATACGATATTTATATAACTTACATAGACATAAACCAGGTTCTTCAATAGATGTATTTAAATACCAAACTCTCTTTCTAATTCCCGGTAATGCTTCATTATAAAGTTTTGAATTAACAAAACCGTTGCTTATACTGATAAAATAATTTGCTGATGGATTATTAAAAGTACTTGACAACACTTCTATGCTCACGCTAGTATGATTTGAAATTGAAATTTGGCTAGATAAACCGGAATATGTTTGACGTAGTATTTCCTTCGTATTATCAACCACTTGATAAATTGATATGTTTCCCGACGAAAGCATCAAAGGTTTATTATAATGTATTGTAATTGTATTAAATTCTCTTGATCTTATAATGCCATCATTAGGCGTTGTTTCAAGAATATTTGGATTGTTGTGTATATAGTCTTTAAACAAAATATTCAGTTAAATAAATTAATGAAGTGAAAGGTATAATTCAAAAAAAAATTTAATGCATAAAATAAATAACTTACTATCCGTGAAATTTTTACAGCGCAACTGATCTGTTATTAACGTCCAGGAGGCACTGCTATTTTGGAACAGCATTCCCCACACTGTATCATTATGTGAAAAATAATTAACCGTCATCACGTCATTGTTAATTCCTTTCCATTTGCCATCATATTCCCCATTTTCCGTTAAAAAGAAACCCATTCTTTTTTTATCTTTATACGAAAGACATGTAACTAAAAATCCACGATTGAGCAAAACGGTAATTTCTAAAATTTCTTTGTTAGGATCCTCTCCTATATCTAACTTTTTAAAGTTAATTACAGAACCACTAGTTAAAAATGTTAATAGAAAATACACTATATTATTTTTTTTCACTAGTTTCGGAGAGAACATTTCAACACCCATTAAACAATTATGTCCTTCACCATTTGAATCTGAACAACCAATAAAATTTATATCAAATAAATCCATTTGAGATTGATAAAGCAAATAAGGAGTGCTGATTTCTAGGTTACTTTTATCTATAAAAATGGCGTAAACATTCCAGATCGGGTCTACGGCGGTCGTTTGATTGAGTTTGTTACTAAGGATAAAATAAACACCACCACCATCAGATTTAAACATCTTGTATGAATTAATTATTGATCTGGTAGGTGATATTATATAACCTGAACCTAATTTAACAATCTGATTAGGGTTGGTTGACCTAAATGTAAAACAAGTTATGATTAATTATTACGGTGAACTGGTGATTTACGTGTTTTATATATAAAATCTTACATTGGTGCAAATCTTGACCATGCGATAGTAGTTTCATTTACTTGACGAGACCAAGTAAATCCATTTTCCTCATCCTTGCTACGAACGATTTTACCAACACCAATACCGAATTCTACAAACTGCATAATATTACCATCAAAGTCGATGATCATTCCTGTATGTATTGTTGTTGCTTCATCCTCTCCATTTAAATATGTTATAAGGATCTCATGATCATTTATAAAATAATTCCTGAACGCACTTTGTATCTTGCAAAAGTTGTATAAAGGAATTTGATGAGCGACTTTTAACGGTTTGACGGTACCATCGGTAAATACGATTCTCAAATGTACGTCTGGGTCGATGCATGTTTGATCCGGGTTATTGTAACGGGCAAATTGAAGCAAGATAGTGCCATCTATTTTAGTGTAACTATCAAAAAGATATAAATCGTTTGCGGGATCCTCAAGATATGTCAAGTTCGTGTCGTATTGTGCGACACAGGATGTTATAAAAAACATTGTTATGATAACTATAACCGGAAGGAAATGGTATCGCCATCGATCATATGATGCAACGATATACATTTTTTAATTGTCTAGCAGTTAAATGAATGTATAAAAAAAGTTCAGATTCAAAAAAAAAAAAAAACAAAAAAAGAGCATGAAATTAATTATTCTTCATTGCTGAATTATATACCGTAAGTAATAATAGCTTATTTATATTTTTCTTAGTCATTTTTTATTTCCAAAATAAAAAAAATATAAACATGGAGAATCCACATTACTAAATAAGCGAACCGTTGAAACATGTTCGAAATTAAGTGCAGCTTTTCTCACTTTATTTGTCCATATATTTTGTTGTTACACGAGGTCTTAGCTTTATGACCCTAAATAAGAAAGAGTATAATGGTTTGAAATCTCAATCCTTTCGGACAATAAAGGGTCTTTATTGATCTAATATGTTCTTGTGAATATATTATATTATTGGACTTTTGATAAATTTTTGAATGTTGTGGCGCAGTTTTATGCAAAATTGCGCGATTAAGATCCAGCGATAAAGTGACGTCAGAACCTTACTGGAGAAGAATTACATATCATGACTGACCAGTTGACATTTTGATTCTTACAGCATGGTTCTTATTCAATCGTTATTAGAAGTGTTTGGTACCAGGAGAATTTTTGATATTAAAGCAGAAAGATTTGGCTTGATAAAAATGAGGAGGTTGCTAGAAATAATTCTTGCATTAAATCTTGAGCATAAATAAATATGCAATCATTAAAAACAAAATCACTATATTCTTTTCCATTTACAGTATACGCAAGATTTTTTTTTTTTTTTTAAAAAAAAAAGAACTTTACGTTATGACAATGTCAATTATTGAATTTTGAAAGAAAAAATTTAATTTTTATGCAAAAATACAAGCACATGGTTTATACGTAATCCAAAAACTCCGAACAGTTGTTGAAACCGGATGACAGGGTAATGGCACTAAAACAAAAGGTGAAATTTTAATGGTTTCTTTTGTTACCCTAATAAAGATTTGGGCTAAAACCATCTGACGAACGCTTAAACCAATTCACCTCAAACCCAATTTTCTCCTAGTATCGCTAGAATTTTTTATTTTACTGCGGTCCATTATATTGTTTACTATTTATGTGAAAGTCTTGTTGATCAGTTTTGGCTAGTGTCATTGTTGCGCATCAGATCGACATTACTGAAAATACGAAAAAAAACGTCAGAACTTTTGGATCACATTGTCATTGCATCGATAAAAGTTTTGGAATTTCATGCGCCGTGTGAATCAATCTGTAATATGCATGATTTGTAATAAAGTTTCCAAATTTAAGTTTCGTAATTTCCAAGCCATTAGCTCGTTCCTTTATGGCAAAATCCAAAAGTCATTGAGTTTTAGTTGAGATTTTTTTTTTTCCTCAAATTATTTATATCAATAACCTGAAGCAGTACTTATTTGCGTTTGATAAGATAGAATAATTCTCTTCGTTTATAACAATAATAATTTTTGTTTTAAATATGTATTCTTATTAGTCGAACCTTTCAAAGTTGACTTATCGTAGCTTCATATGATGGAATTAAAATTTCTTACAAAAATACTAGTTGAAAATGGTAACAGTATGATTACCCGAATGCCATTATCCCAAATTCGAACTCCTATTTCTTGAATCCCAAATATCGATATCTCGAATACTGTATCTATATGAAATATTTACGGAAACGAAAATAGGGTCGTCAGGGTTTAATGAGACGTAATTTTCTTGAAAATAAAGTTCCCGAATGGTGTCCCGAATTCTGCAGTAAAAATAGATGTAATTCTTGTGATATTTTTATAAAAATAAAACAGGCAATTTTTTTCTTATTTTATTTAAATTTTTCCTTAAATTTTTGTTTGTGATTTTCAAATCATATGTTTATAATAAAAGTTTATGATCGGCAAGTAAAAAAAAAAAAACGGCTTTTAATATCTTAATAATAAACAAGTAAACTTTGAACCTGGCAGGGAGCTTTAAAGCAATTTTTTTTTTTTGGTTTTTTTTTTTGTTTTTAGGTTCAGGACGCACTGATCAAACGCTTTCGATTTCTTTCTGGATATTACATCATTTTCTTTTTAAGAAGACATCCTTTTTCTAATTCGTCGCGTCGCGTTTTAAATTTCAATTCACGTGATCAACTCGTGATTTAGTTCACGTGTTTAAATTATTCCCGGAACTTTAAATGTTTATTGTAAGCATTTTGCATTTAATTAACTTATGCTCTCTTTCCTCTTATTTATATATAGATTATAATGATTCAAATTAGCTAAAAATTAAATAGCTGATTTTAGTTTAATTAAGATATTATTTACAGCTAAATTGTTTATTTTTAATAGCACAAATTGGTACCAATTGTCTCAAATTACAAAATAATTTAGCATCAATTCAGAATATAAATTCAATTATTAATTAACCTAAAAATTGACTTCAATTTAGTATTATAAAAATTGGTAAAATTTAAATCAATAATAATAAATACATTTCATTAGGAACTTGTACATATACCATCAGGGTATATATGCAAGATTAAGTTCTATAAAAAACATGCATTGATTCTTTCTAGTTTCGTTGATAAACCAGATGTTAAACATATTTACAAAAGTATTTCCATTATTTGAGTTATAGTCTAATGATCACTCATAATTACTTTTTTTTCAAACCAGTCAACTGCAGCTTCTTTTAAGTATTCTTCAGTTATGCTTTTTCTTGATATATCAATCCATCAATTAATAGTTGCTGCTTTTTCAAAGGCAGTAAGCCATTCAACAGGATCTTTTACTTCAGTGCTATAAAGTAATCAACTTTTGCTGTGGTTTATTCCATTTTCCCTATCGCATTTAATCAAACTCCATCTACTCTAAAAATTTCTTTGAAAACTTATCTTATTTATTCACCTGTAGCTGCTAATATTTCTAGAAGTGGGATTAGTTGATAAACTGATTGCAGAAGGTATTGGTAAGACAATTAATTATTAGAATAATTGTCGATCTTTCTGAATTTATATTAAATCTTGATTAAAAATTTCTATGTATATTTTAAGAAAATAGATAAATTGATAGACTGTTAAAAATAATTTGTTTCAAAAAATACACCTTGAACATACAAATATATTATGTCTAATGAAAAAGTTCTAATCCTATACCAAAAACTGAAGAGTAATTGGTAAATTATCTTTGTTAAATGATTATTATAATGTTTTAATACTAGAATATTACTTAATTGTTTGAATAAATTGAAAGTAACAAATAATCTTTCTGTATAGAATTCTACTTGATATTCATAATGAAACTAATTTCAAAATTTTAAAACTAATTTTAAATGTACAATCAACCCTCTCTACAATCACACCCTTTAGGATAACTTTATTAGAGTTTCAAATGAGTCGAATTGAGTTGATTTTAAAAGTTAACTCTATTTAACTCTCTTTTTTAAGTTAAGTTAAGTTAATTTTATAAAATCTTTTAACTTAACTTGATTCAAGTTATATAAATTTTAAAGTTGACTTAATTTAACTTAACTCGATTTTAACTCAACTCAATTTTAACGAATTTATTCAAGTCAAGTCAAATTCAAATCAAATTTCAAATCAAATTTAAATTAATTTATAAATATTTAAATATAAAAAAATAAATAAAAAGATTAGGGAGGAGAGGAGGGAAAGGGAGGGAAAAAGAAAAATAATAAAAAAAATTAAAAGAATAAAATAATCAGAGGATAAAGAAAATTTAAAAAATTAAAAATAAAATTAAAAATAAAATAAAATAAAAACAAAAATAAAAATAAAAAATGAAAAGAAATAAAAAAATGATCTAAGGGGTGAATTGGAAAAAATAATAGAAGGATAAAATAATCGAGGAATAAAAATTTAAAAATAAATAAAAATAAATAATCAAAAATAAAAATAAAAAAAAAAATAAAAAAAAAAATATAAAAAGATGGGACAGGAAAGGAAAAATAAAAAAAATAAAAATAAATAAATAAAAAATAAAGAAAATGAAAATAAAGATAGGAAAAAGAAAGAAAGTAAAAATAAAAAAAAAATCTAGAGGAAAAGGAAAGGATAAAACATTCGGGAAATAAAAAAATTTAAAAAAATATCAAAGGGGAATGAGGAAGGAAAAGGGAAAAATAATTAAATGATCAGAGGGATAAAAAAATTTAAAAAATTAAAAAAAATAGATTGATCAATAAATTGATTAATTTAAGATAAATCAGTTTATTAATCCTTAAAAAATAAGACTCATTTGTAAAATTATTTTTTTTTTAAAATTTCTGATTGCTACAGTATCATTTTAGTAAGAGCATTAGAGTTCTAATTATTTTTTTTAGAATTTTAAATTATTGTGATATTATTAAAAGCATTATACTAAAATAGTAAAATCAATTTTTTCAAAAAATTTTATTTAAAGACTTTTAATTTATAATTAATTTGAATAAAGTTCAAAGTATAGAAATGATTTTTATATGGTTTTAGAATCAGATTATTTCTCCTATATAAGCTTTTTTATACAAATAGATGCAATTTTTAATAAAATAAAGCTGAATTTTGTATTTATTTTTTTTTTTTTTTTTTGATTTCTTAATACAATTTATAATGAAATAAAGCTGTAATTTGTATTATTTTTTTTAGAACAATTTTTTTTTAAAAATCCAATATTATTACTATGCAATTAATTAGAATTAAAAAAATAAATCTTTTTAGCTTTATATATATGTAATTATATTAACTGAAAAAACTGTTAACGATTAAGTAATAGAAAAAAAGTAAGTATTAAAAAATTTAGATTTGTTAATTAATTTTATTATTTTTAATATATTTTATTAATAAAATAAAAACTATTTAACCTAAAAATATTAAATCTATTATATTAAATTATTATTAATACTATATATTAATAATATTATAAATTTTAAAAAAATTAATTTATTAATAATACTGTTTCAAGTCAACTTGAATCAAGTCAAGTTTGAGTTAAATTTAAATTGAATCGAATTAAATATTTAATTTGATTCAAACTCAATTTGACTCATAAATTATCAAATCAAAAAAATATAAACTCAATTTAATTAAAACTCAATTCAGCTTATTTGATTCGTGAGTCAACATAACTCGTTTAGAACTCTATACTTTATAGTGTAATTGTATATATATATACTTATAAATATTTATATAATTTCAAAAATTAAAATTATTATATTGTATTTATTATATTACATCTATAATTTATTTTATTTATTATTTCTTCATTTGGTTATTTAATAACTAATTTCTTTTTTTAAATCTTTTGATACTTCAGTTGAATTTAAACTGATAAGTTTCATTTCATTTCATTTCTTCTTTACTTCATTCTTCTTTTACTTAGTGATTAATTAACTAATCTTCTTTTTTAGTTCTTTAATCATTTTAGCTAAATCTAAAGTACAAGATGAGTAGTTTATTTTTTTTTTTGTTTTATTAATTCTTTCGCTTAGTAGTTATTAACCAATTTTTTTTCTTTTAGATCTTTGGCATTTTAGCTAGATCTAAGATACAAGGTGAGTAATTTATTTATTTCTTTTTTATTTTGTTTATTCTTTCATTTAATTATTAACTGATTCTTCTTTATTTTAGATTTTTAAACATTTTGGCTAAATCTAAGATGCAAAGTGAATAGTTTATTTCTTTTTTTTTATTTTGTTCATTTTTTTGTTTAATGATTAATTAACCAATCTTCTTTTTTTAGTTTTTCAGCATTTTGATTAGATCTAAGAGGTAAATTAGTTTTTTTTCTTTTTTGCTTCATTTATTCTTTCACTTAGTGGTTGATTAATAACCATTTTCTTTAGATCTTTAGACTCTTCAACTATATCCAAAATGGTAAAGTACTTTGCTTTAATTTTTTGTTTACTTTCTTTTTTTAGATTTTTTTTAGCTTTTCAAATTTGAATTCTAAATAGATATAGTAAGATTTTTTTCTTATTTTGATTTATTCTTTTATTTGTTTAAAAATTTCTAAATTCTTATATTCTTCTTTTGATATAAAACTAGGATTATTTTAAATCATACTGATCAAATTGAATAGAACTGTTAGTTTTATATGAAAAGTTAATTTTTTAAAATTTATTTAATTTATTATTATTGTCATTTTTAATTTATACCTTATGTAAATTTATTATTAAAAAAAAATTTTTTGAAATAAATTAAATCTATTTTAAAATTAATTAATTATCATAAAAATAATATTTTAAAAATACTTTTTTTTTTTAAAATATATATTTTCTTCTCTGTCTTTCAACTATCTACTCTATAATCTTAATTTTAATTTATACTTATTTACATTACATAAATACAAATGCAAAACACTTATATAAGTTTACAATACAAACCTCTTTATTTCAATAAAATTAAATTATCAACTATAATCTCCTTACTAACTATTATAATTACTAATTATTAAAATTATTATTATAAATTTTGTAATATATAAATAGTACTTTATTTTTTATAATTAAAATCTTTACTTTGAATATTTGCAAATAGTTTCAAATATTTTTAAATCTTCAATATTATATATAAAATTATCTTGTTATTCAAAATAATTTAAAAATGTTTTTAATCTATCAATAGTTTTATTAATTAATAGAAAAGGTACTTTTTTCTTCTTCTTCAATATTTTTTTCTTTTTTTTTTCAGTTAATACTATATGAACTATTTTTTCATCAGTAAAAAATTCTTCAGTTAGTATATTTTAAGCAAGTATTTAAAAATATTTTTATATTTCTTCTATATTTTATAAAGCATCATGAAGACCAGCAATTTTCTTATTATCTTGCTCTCTTATATCTTTATTAACAAATTCATTATCAAATGAAAATATACTTATTTTCATCTAATAATTTTGAATAGCTGTTAGAGTAATATTATTCTAAGTCTCAACAATATAATCTATTGCTTTTTAATATTTAATTTATTACTAAATAAATAAATAAAATTAATT